GGGGCCGGGCCGAGGCCGCGCCGGGCCCCTCGGGGCTCCTCACCTCCGCGATGTCATGTTCCTCCCGCCCTCCGGCTCCGCGACGGACCCGCTCCTTGCTCAGGCTCCGCTGGGCCCGGTCACATCGGGCTGGCCCGAGGGAGGCCCGCTCGGGACCGGACGGGGGGCAGAGCCAGCCGGCCGCGCGCAGACCCCCCTCCAGGCCTGGGGATCCCGGAGACTGTGCAGCCGCCCCCCGAGTCCCGTTCGCTCCTCCTCCTCCCCCGCCCCTCGCCGCCGGCGCCACTCTGACGTCACCCCGCGCGACGCCCGCCGCCACTTCCTGCTTCCAGTCCGCCGGGGACTGAGTGGCGGCAGGTGATGGCAGTCCGGTGGCTCGGTGGGGCCGCCGCCGCGCAGTTCCCAAAGCACCTCGACGTCCTCCTTTAGACCTTGGCCGCAGGGCGTGCGCCGCGCGCTCAGTGCTGTACGCGCTCCCGGGAACCCATGCCTCCGCTTCCACCGTGTCAGTTTCCATCCCCGACTGCCAAAGCGAATTTCATTCATTTCATTCCACACATCGCCGCTCTGCTTCCTGGCTGTGTAACCTTGGGAAAGTTGCTTAATTTCTCTGAGCCTCAGTTTCATCCATTCCCTCATTTCTGTAAAATAAAGATAGTAATTGTATTTTCTTCGTAGGATTGTGGAAATTAAATATGTAAAATTCTTAGAACTAGGCCTGGCCTGTTTAGTAAGTGCTTTGTAATTGTTCGCTGTCTTTTCATTACAATTAAACATCTGTTGATTGTTTGCTATCTGCTAAGCACTGTTTTAGATTATGGGGATATGAACAGAAAAGACAAAAATCCCGTGCCTGTGTTCTCGAGGGAGGAGCTACAGTAATCAAGATAAGTAAAATACTCAAGATAATACTCGTACCCTCCTTTCTTGTCTTTTCTCCATAGCCCTTTATATTATCGTTTTCATTAGGGTAGTTAGGGAAGGCTTCACTGAGGATGACGTTTGAGTAAAGAACTGACGCTGGAGCAATCTATGGGAATAACTCGAGGGAATAGCATTTCAAGCACAGGGAGAGAGAAGTGCAAAGGCTCTGAGGCAGGAGGCTGCCTCCTGTACTATTTGAAGAACAATGAAGGGATCTCTAGCTAAAGCACAGTAGAAAGTGGGAGGGGTGAAGGGAGAGTAGCAGGAGATGAGGTGAGAAAGGGGTAGAGATAGTATAGAGTCCTATAGGCTATTTAAATGAACAGTAAAATGGAAAGCCATTGAAAGATTTTCAGCAGAGGAGGACTATAATCTACCTTTTAAAATTATTATTTAAGATATTCTCTAAGGAATCAGATCAAGAGGGCAAGGTTGGAAACAGAGAGACCAGTTCGGAATACTAGAATTCTGTAATATTCCAGGCTGGAGATGATGGTGGCTCCAACCAGAATGAGAAGGTAGAGTTTTTACTTGATGAAGGCCCATGTGACTCATTAAAGGTCACAGATCTAGTAAGTGGCAGAGTCAGAATTGGAACCTACATCTATGTGGCTACAAAACCCTCATTTTTTCCTCCCAGTGCTCTCCAGCTCACTTCTGATAAATAAATGGCAAGCAATAGGACATATTGGAGTATATGAGGAAGCCATTTGGTGTAAAACTAATTTGGCCTGACCTTGTTTTTCCAAAAGGGCCTGATGTGGCTTTTGAACATGCATTGTATATCTGCTTTAAGCATTTACCACGTCCCCGAAGACAAGAACAAATGCCCTTAAGATAAGGATGTAACTTCCCCCACATTGGCATTTCCTTAAGGATAAGCTTTTCTCCCTAGGCTAGGATTTGATTGCTGTCCTCATCTTGTGACCACCCAACTTGAGACAACAGACCTGGTACCTGCTGTGCCCATCAAGACAGCAGACCTGATGCCTGCTGTGTCCATCAATTGCTGTGCCAACAGGACAATCTTGTGATTATTGTAAAGGGACATCGCAATCATATGTGATACATGCTCTTTGACCGTGTATAACTGCTCCGTACACCCCACTTCTTTGGTGCCCTTCCTTCCTTGGGGAAGGAAGGCCCCGGGCTATATGGTCCTCAAATCTGGCTCATAATAAACTCACCCCAATTTTGATTTATAGATTGATTATGGATTATTTGCATTGACACTTCTATATGAAGAACTCACATGCAGTGTGCTAACTGCTTTAGCCTTGTTACAAAAAAATCCTTACAAAAATTGTCTTTAATATATGCCAATTTAATTTAGGTAATAGGCATTCAATGAACAGTTGCCCAGGCTGTTTCCTTCCATTCCTCCTAAATCCCGGCCACCTAGATGACTCAAAGAAAATCCTAAAGGATTTTAGCCTGCACGCTTGCCCTCTCCAATCCATTCTCCACATAATAGCCAGGGTAATCTAAAATGCGGAACTAGTCACTCCCTACATTGCATATACTTCAATGGCTTCTCATTGCTTTTAGGTTGAAGTCAAAAAACTTTTTAACAACCACCTGATCTGGTTCCTGCTCACTTCACCAACCCCACTCTCCCCACCACGCTATGACCCAGTCATGCTGAATGACTTTCAGTTGTTCTCAATATGCCATGCCCTTTCCCAGCTCAGGGCCTTTAAACAATCTGCTCCCCCTCCCTAGAGAGTACTATGTGACCCCCCTCCCCATGAACTCTAGTCTACGCAGATCTCAAACTAGAAGTCATCTCCTCTGGGATAGGAAGACTTACCTGATTCTCCCAGTCTAGGTTAAGATGGTCCCCAAGACACCTATCCTGGCTTAGAAGTGAACACATTTCATTATAAATCTAAGACACAATATCATGTGGGGGATAAGTTCTTGATCTCCAAAGCTCAGCCTGCCTGCCTGGTTGTCCCCAGGTAAGTGACTTGACTCCTCTGTGTCTCAATTTCCTTCTCCGTGAAATGGAGGGGTGAAAATACTACCTACAACATAGGGTAAGTTGTGAAGAATAAAAGGGTTAACGATTGTGAAGTATTTAGAACAATGCCTGGCAAAGTAAGCACTTGGTAAATGCTGGTTATCACTTGTCTCTTTTCCAAAGTAAGCTGTAAGCTCTTTGAATACAGAAACTGAAGCCAGGTACTTGATGGTTACTGTAGATATTCAATAAGAACATGATTGCCTTTTGACCTTGTTCCCAACACAGACATAGATGATTTTTGTCAATTTGCTCTTTTCTTGTTTAACTTGAGGAGTGACTGATTTATGAGTTTGTTTTGCAGAAGAAAGAGAATGCCTTCAGGGAGGTTGCAATCTCCAGACGGCCGGCCCCCAGCAGCCATTGCAGATTGTCTTGGGGCTTATCTGGAGTGACCTGTTTGTTTCTCCAAAGCTCCTCCTGGCAAGCCCATTAGCTCTATAAAAACTCCCCTCTTTTTGCTCTGGTTAAGGCAGATTTGAGCAAACCAGTGCTCCCACCTTCTCATCTTGGCCAACTCAAATGGGGCCTTTCTTCATCTCCAAGCACCGATATCTCATTCAGTGTTTGTCTTGCTGTGCATCAGGCACATGAATTTAAGATTAAGAGGTTCAGTATCAAAACCATTGCTTCCCCTGTCTTTCCTATAGTCTATACACTCTGCAGCTAGAATGATCTTTCTAGAATACAAATCTAATCATGTCCTTCTCCTGTTCTATGAGGGAGGTTCAAAGCCTTTAGCACTAAATGAAAATCCTTCCATTAGCACATCTGGCCCTTCTAAATACGAACCATGTCTACCTGTTCAGCTTCATTTATCCCCACCTCCTCACATGATCTGGCAGTTTCCAAAGGCCTCTTGCTGTTTCTTGCATCCCTGTATTCCAAAATTTAGTTCCTTCTGTCTGGAATGCACTTTAAACCCATCTCCAAATGGAAAAGTAAGTGTCAAGCAAGATATAGCTCCAACTCAATCAACTTGTGCAGTAAACATTCTCTGCACACATCCCTTGACCACTTCCTGAGAATAAAATAGAGCCCTCTTCCCTATGCTTTGCGGGCTGCCTGTTCATGCCTCTATCAGCCCGCAACACGGTTCAACATCATTGTTGATTGACTGTTCTGCCTCTTCCCTTAGATTATGAGCTCCTTTTAAAACAAAGTCACTATCTTCTTCATCTTTACATACCCAGAGCCTAGCACACTGCCTGGCATAGAATAAGCTTAAGAAATATTCATTTAGGGCCGGCCCTTGGCTTAGCGGTTAAGTGCGCGCACTCTGCTACTGGCAGCCCGGGTTCGGATCCCGGGCACGCACCGACGCACCGCTTCTCTGGCCACGCTGAGGCCGCGTCCCACATACAGCAACTAGAAGGATGTGCAATTATGACATACAACTATCTACTGGGGCTTTGGGGAAAAAAAAAGGAGGAGGATTGGCAATAGATGTTAGCTCAGGGCCGGTCTTCCTCAGCAAAAAGAGGAGGATTAGCACGGATGTTAGC